AGCCCTGGCCAATATCTTGACTGCACTCTCATAAGAGACTCAGGGCTAGAACTGCCCAACTATGTTGCTCCCAAATTCCTAACCCATAGGAACTATGAGGATAATAAATGTTTGTTGTTTTAAGCTACTAAGTTTTGGTGTAACTTGTCACACACCAATAGATGACTAATACAGGGTCTCTGCACTTGCTGTTGCCTCTTCTAGGATGTTTCTCACCCAGATGTTTGCATGGCTCCCTGTCCATTTCCTTCAGGTCTCTGCATAACTGTTACCTCAGAGACTTTCCCTTGACCTGAGTCACACCCAGTCCCCTTACCTCGCTTTAAATTTTTTTCCCTAGCACTTAATCCCACTAGAAGTGTTATATTTTTGCTTGTTTATAGTCTCTCTCTCTCAGTGGAAAGTGAACTCCATGAGGGCAGGGATCCTGCCTGAATAGTTCCCTGCTCTATCTCCAGACCCTCGAACAGGGCCTGGTACTGTGGCTGGACGAGCGGTGAATGGAGCCGTGGAGGGAGAGTCTGCTTGTCACTCATTTTAGGATGAGGAATATGTCCTTGCTTTTTGATAGGGAAAGACAAAAGTGGTTGGCCTCAGAACCTATCACCACGGGGGGAGGAAGGCGGGAAAAGAACCCCACAGGAATGGAGGTGGAAAAGAAGAAATTTGCATGAAGGATAAAAACCAAACCAAACCCGCCCAGCTGAGTCGATTCCAACTCACAGCAACCCTATAGGACAGGGTAGAACTGCCCTAGAGGGTTTCCAAGGAGCAGCTGGTGTATTCCAATTGCCGGCCTTTTGGTTAGCAGCCGTAGCTCTTAACCACTGTGCCACCACAGCTCCTGCATGAAGGATAGGGCACCTAATAGAAAAGAAAGAATGGATGCCAGAGAGAAGGGGGGAAAACTATGTTTTTGCCCTCCCACTATTTATTTGAAAGAAAACTCTACAACAGGCCAAAGTCTCTGGCCAAATTTATTTCCCAGTGAATAACTTGTTTCTTTTTTTAAATTGTTTATTACACTCTTACATAGAGTGATTAATGAATTGGAATTTATTTTTCAGAGGTGAAAATAAACTTTATCTACTTCCTCTGAAACTACTGTTCTTGCCACTCCTCTTTTGGAATAATCCTGTACTTCTCTTCATCACCTTTAAAGATCTACTCGCTGCCCAGTGCACCGATATGCCAATCATGGCTAGCGTAACCGTGTAATTTATTTTCCAAACTGGGACTCTCCTGAAAGTGAAAGGAGTTTCTGTTTATAATTACCTTGGCATAAACTGGGACAATGGTCACCCTGGTAGCACCTGCTGTGACCATGGGCCTGTAGAAGGGGCAGCCATTTAGCAGCTGTGTTTTATGCTCACTACCCACCCCCCACCCCATACCCCTGCCATCTATCCTAGGATGACCAATCCAAGTCTTGCCAGTGACATGCAATAAGGGAGGAATGCAAGCTAGCTATGATCATATTATTTTACAGCTGGCCAGGGAAAGGTACCTGTGAGCTTGGCTGAAAAGAAGCTGTCCTGATTGAAGAACTGTATCCTGAGTGTTCCTTAAGCCTAAATTGTAACCTGTTACTTCCCTAATAAACCCCATAATTGTGAGTATGGTCTATGAGTTCTGTGTGGCCATTGCAATGAATTATTGAACCCAGCAGAGAAACAGACAGTGCCGTGGGAGGGATGTTTGGTATCGCTGGTAAAGATGGTGGAGAAAGGAGGTATGCCTGACCTCCGCCTCATAGGAATCAGCCTTGGACTGTTGATCTTGATTCTCCTTCTCCCTGGTGAAGTTAGAGGAGGTCAGACACCGCCCCCAAGCCATTTTTACAGGTAACCACTAGCCCCATAGGATTACTGAGCACTTGAAATATGGCTAGTCTGAAATGAGATGTGCTATAAGTGTAAAATAAACTCCACAGGTTGAAGGCTTAGTAATAAAAAGAATTCAAGATATCTCATTAATGATTTTTATACTGATTATATGTTGAAAAAATCTTTTGGATCTATTGGGTTAAATAAAATATTTTATTAGAATTAATTTCATCTATTTCTTTTTTTTATGTGGCTACAAGAAAATTTAAGATGACGTGTGGCTAGAGAACAGGCCTGTGGCCCCTCACTACAGAGAAAGCTCCCTGAGGCAGCACTATGTCTCTTCCTTGCTCAGTACCAAGCCTCAGTGACCAGCTCTCTGCTGGTGGGTGTCAGAGCTGGTGTCAGAGGACCTTTCCAGGCGTTTATACCAGGGTTGCTTCCCTTTGTCCAAGGTCCTGAACAACTGCATGATTCCATTGTTAAGGTGCTTGTCCTCGTGGGAAATACTGCATGTTTCTTGCCCTGATTACCAAATTGGAAGGCAGATGAGGCCGTTGTCTCCTTTGCTATCCACATAAGGATTGTTGTCACCCCTTTCCCTCTGTAAGGTGGTCGAAGGATGTTAATAACAGGTTCGTTGGGTGTCTACTATTTGCAAACGCTACGCTTATCCTTACCTCAATCACCCTGTTGGAGCAGCTGTTAGCTCCAGTTTACAGAAAAGGAAATAAGGGCAAAAAAGGTTCATTTCTTCATAGTTAGAAATTAGTAGAGCTAAAATTCAATCCAGAACCATTTGACTTTCTGTTTATTACACAACACTACTCCTAAACTTGACAGCTAGGAGGTTAAAAGGCTTCACATAGGCATTATCCTCTTAATTACAGACCTCTGCTCTTTCCCGGTAAAAAGCACAGCACAGAGAGCTGGGGAGAAGGCAGGTGGACTGCTCGATTCCCTTTGTAGAAGTGTGGGCGAGTGTGGCACAGACAACAGCTTAGCCATGGCAGAAGGGACAGGAGCACAGTGGATCCTTCCAGGCCTATTGGTCTACGGGATAGCCTCAAACCACACATCAGCTGAAAGTCGCCTTTGATGCAGAAGCAGGATGTATAGAGGGCCCACTAACATTTAAATAGGCTGCAGCCTTCAGGCCGTTCTCTGTACCCCAGGGTTCGAAGGCATGAAGCATCTTATAGGGTCTGGGACTGAGTGTCCTCAAATGAAACCCAAAGAGAGGGACAGGGTCACCAGCCTTGCCTTCTCTCATTCTTTTGCAGGTCTCATATCTTGTTTCCTTTGCCCTGCCCTGAGTATCATGACCTACTAAAAATTTCCCTGCTTGGCTGAGCCATCAGAACGAACTTCTGAAATAATGGGAACTGAACAAAAGGTTTTCAGATCATCTGGGTTTCATATATCCCCCCTGCACTCCCTAACCTGTTTCAATCTTCTCTTAACATGGATCACAGAAAACCAGGGCTAGCTCAGGCTGTACAGACCACTGAGTTCAAACCCTTTATTCTGTAGAAACAGAGGTCCAGAGATTTAAAGTCATACATCTACTTGGCAAAAGTTGGGACCAGAACCTTAGACCCCTGACTCATAATGCAATGCTCTTTCTACTTCTCCAGCTCCAACAGAGAATTAGAAAAGGAGATAGAGTGATTTTTCTTTGCAGGGCTCAACTCAAAGTTTGGGTATTGAAAAGTGGGTGAGGTGGGGGAATGCATGGCACCAGGATGGCAGAGGTAAAGTCCATCCCCAGCCTCTGACCAAGGGCCACTTTCCATCTGGAACACCCTAGCCCACAGGCACTGAAGGTCATTAAAATGAGTGAGTCACTCTTAAAGAATTTGGGGAAAGCAGCCAATCTATGCATGCTTTGCCCTTCCATGGATGTGGGGAAACAGGAAAAACAGTGGCCACTGGCCCAGGTGCACCTTGCCCCCTTCTGGAACCTTCCCTGGCTACCTCAATCTTCCATCCATTATCCCTCGCACTTGGTGTTCCCTGAAAACCAGGTTGGAAGGATTGTCTTCTGAGCGAGGAGAAAGTGAATCTAACTCCCTGGTTTACAAGCTCTTAGAAAGCCCTGGAAGGTTTGAGGGAACCTTGCCTCACTTCTGAGGGACTGACAGACCCCATGTCCTTTTAGATGTTAGGCTTTTAAGTATCAGCCAGTGGCCTCAACTGGAAATGTTCTCACCATGGAGAGGCTTCTTCAGGTAAGAGACTACATTAGTAGCAAAATACATAGTTTTACTTATGGCCAAATGTTTCTCCTGAAAGTTTTAAAGTTAATAAGATGTTTTTTTAAATACGGGGGGCGGAGGCAAGGACAAAATGACTAACCAGTGTTAACACAATGCCATGTTTGTCTCCTATATATTTCCCTAAGCTTTCCAATTTTTTAAAATAAAGGGAATGTGTTACTTTATAATGATGATAATGATAAACATTGCTCATTCATTCCCCAAATATGTCAGTATCTATCATCTAGATGCTGGTGACACAGCAATGAATAAGACAAAGTCCCTCTCCTCCTAGAGCTCCCACTTAGTGGTGGAGGGTGGAGGAGATAATATAACGTGAGGTAGCAATAAATCCTAGAGGAAAACACTAGAGTGGGAAGAGAGAATGGAGAGTCATGGGGATGAGGCGGTCAGAAAATGCTTCTCTAAGGAGAGCAGTTGAGCAGATACCCGAAGGAAGTGATGACCCAAGTGAGGTGAAGATCTGGGGAAAGCGTTCTTCCTTTAGACAGAGGGAATGGAGAGGGTGAAGGCCCTCAGGCCTTGCTCAAGGAAGAGCAGAAGGCCTGCTTGACTACAGCGGAGTGAGTGAGTTCTGGAGTGGTTGAGTCAGATGCCACCTGGCTTTGTAAGGCCATAATAAGGAGTTGTGTTTAAGTTTAAGTGTGAGGGGAAGCCATGGGAAGGCTTGAGCAGGAAAGTGAGGTCACAGAGTTTGACAAGGATTTTTCTCCTGGGATGCCTCTCTTGTTTGCAGGGAACACACCTCTCCCACTAGATTGGAGGGTGCTGAGTCCAGGTGTGCTTTCTCTGGTTAAGTTCCTCCATCCCTCAGGAAAGGGCCTAAAAGCAGGAGTAGCTGAACTTGGGGGAACTGAGCTCTTGTCCCCACAAGACTCTAGCCTCTGGTACTCACCTTCTACTGTCAACTCCACTGTCACCTGGCGGGCACCACTACCATTGGTGGCTTCACAGGTATACTTCCCTTTGTCCTCCTCACAGACAGCATTGATCACAAGGCTGAAAGTCCCCCGGATACTACACTCTAGCAGGAAGCGGCCCCCGCTGGTAATGGGTTGCCCATTTCTGTGCCACGTCACCTGGGGTTCAGGGTAACCCCGGACCTTCAAGGAAAAGAAGAAAAGGTGAGAGTTTATATTTAATGAGTACTTACTCTGTGCCAGGTATTGTCCTGAGTGCTTTACATGTGATAATTCATTTAATCCTCATAACATCCCTTGAAGCAGAAACTACACTTATCTCCATTTTACAGATGAGGACATTGAGACGCAGAGAGTTTGACAAACTTCTCAAGGTCTTGAAAGTATCAGAGTCAGGCATCTTGACTCCAGAGCCCACTACACAAGTGACTCTCAAGCCTGGTTGCACATTAGAATCACCAGGGGAATTTTCAAAAAAGTACTAGTGCCCAGGCCTAACCACAGACCAATTACCATATTTTACAAAAACAATGCACGTGTTATATGTGTTTTGTCAACCACGCAACCCCCTCGCGCATTATTTTTCTAGGCACGCTATGCACGTTTTATGTGTGGGCGCGTTATTTGTGAAAAAATACAGTAAATCAGAATCTCAGGGGGTGGGAAATGGGAATGAGGATTCTAGACTAGGGCTTCTCACTCTAACATGCAGAGTCACTTGGGATTGTGTGAAAACGCAGATTCTGAATCTATAGATTTGGGGTGGGGCCTGGGATTCTGCAGTTCAGACAAGCTCCCAGAATATGCTGACGCTGCTGGTACCTGGAACTCACTTTACGTAGCAAGATTCCAGGCTTGTGCTGCCCAGTATGGTAGCCACTAACGACATGTGGAGACTGAGCACTTGAAACATGGCTAGTCCTAATTGAGCTATGCTCATTTATGCTGTAAGTGTAAATTACACACTGGGTTTCAAAGACTTGGTATGAGAAAAAGAATATAAAATAGCTCAATAATTTAAAAATATTGATTATATGCAGGAAAGATAATATTTTTGATTTGTTGGGTTAAATAAAATATATTACATATTAAAATTAATTTTACCTGTTTCTTATTACCTTTTTAATGTGACTACTAGAAAACGTGCAATGGCATATGTGGCTCGCATGAGATTTCCAGAGCAGTTCTGCTCGAGATCACTCTGCTTTTCTCTAATAGTTAGCAGCTTACATTTGTTGAGGGCTGAGTGTTAAGCACTTTTTTAAGTACTTGACTCATCTGAGCCTCACAGCAACGCTTTCAGACAGAAGATATTTCCTAAGAGGGGGGTAAATGCACAGAGAAATTCCAATCAAAGAATTAATTTTGAATTTTAGAGAAGTTTCCCAAGAGCTCTCAAACACCTGCCACTCAACAGGCCCTTCAGAATGGACTCAGCTTTGCAGGAGCAAGGGTCAGACTGGCTCATCAATGCACAGCCTGGGATATAGGACTGTGGGATTTTAGCACAGAGAAACACACAGTAGATGTCATGGAAGCCTCCTGAGAATAAAGTTGTTTGCATTACAAAATGGTGGTAGCAGCAGCTTTAGTCCATGTATCTAAAACCTAAAAACCAAACCCATTGCTTTCAAGTCGCTTGTGACTCACAGCAACCCTTATGACAGAGTAGAACTGCCCCATAGGATTTCCAAGGAGTGGCTGGTGGATTTGAACTGCTGACCTTTTGGTTAGCAGCCAAGCTCTTAATCACTGCGCCACCAGGGATCCAATCCATGTATCTAATTCCAAGACAAAAGAGAATGGATATGGATAAAACCAAAATTCACCGGATGACCCCAAACTGCATTTATAAAGAAAGTCCCCAATGATCTATAGCAATAATCCTCCCCACATCCCCAAGCAATGTCGGAGAGTGATGCTGTATCAACGATGTGGGAGCAAGAGGGAGTTGGAGTAGCATGTACAGGTTCGCAGCTGCTCCCCATGCCCCACATGAATATCCAATAGAGAGAATTCTCTAAGCACACTAATGGAAGAAAGAATTGTGTGGAAAGTATCAGTAACTGTGCCCAGGTCCCTCCCCAGCTGTTCAGCACTCAGCCCATCCTTAGACCTGATTCTCAGTTGCCAAAATGCAAATTTCTTCCTAGGGAAGGAAACCTAGAATTACAGTGAAAACCCCCCAGAGTGAATAACCCCTTTTTGGTTATTCCATATAGTCACCCCTTCAGTGCCAGTTTAAGGATATCATGAGATTTGCCTCCTCACCACCACTAATTTGTAGTCAAAACAAAACAAAAGACAGAATCAATATTAATGACCTTATTTACAATTTCTGGAAACAGAAGAATCTCTTCCCTAAAAAAAATCAAAACTGTAGTCTTGAGAGAGACTTGAGTACCTGGGAGGAAAGGCTTAGATTCTGAAGTCAGTTACCCCCAAAACCACTGTAGTCTCACCAAGGCAAATATATCATATCTTAGGTTGAACACGTTGGAGGGGGACCACAGCAATTTGGACATATATGGTCCCACACATCTGTTATAATATGAAACAATGTGTTAACAATGGCTGTCTCTGGGTGGATGAGATTGTGAGTCTCTCCTCTTTTCCTTTTACTTGATTATTATTTTCTGATATTTATGCAAATAACATGTCTGGTCTTTGTAAAACAGAAAAACGTTTAAATAAAAATATGCGTTCCTTTTATACTAGTGTATCTGTATAATGAACATACAGCACATGAATTCATTAATTTGTTGGAGTTATCAAGGCACTTAACTCTAGCAACAGAAACCAAAGAGTTATACAAATAAACACAATGCAATTCTGAAAGCCATGGACCCTTATAAAATCCTGTTATCTTGTGGCCCTACTTTGGCAGAAAGGTACATGTAAAGGAACATCATTACCCTGTTAAAGTATTATTCTTCTCATTTTCAGGAAACAATTAAGGAAAGAAACCTTTTCCTACAGAAGGAAGTTCCTTGGGAGTCTGGCCACAGAGTAAATTTGCAAACCATCCTATCTTCTCCTCCCCCCTGTGAAGCAGGGCCAGCCTAACCTCCAGAAGATGATCACGCACCCTTCTGCTGGCTTTGGAGAAGGGGAGCGCAGAACATTGCCACGGGGAGGAGATAAATCATTAACTGCGTCAATGGCATCCTTAGCATTCCATCAGCAAGCACGTTGGCCCCCTGCAGCAGGGCCAGCCCTGGTGGCCCATCCAGCCCGGAGGCATCAATGATTAACCGAGGACATTGCATGTGTTCCAGACCTCAGGGACATGGATTTCTTTCTCCCTTTCTCTTTTCCCCTCATTTTCTACAACACACACACACACACACACACACACACACACACACACACACACGATTTATCTCTAAAATGTGCTGGAAAGATCACTGTTAAAGTATTTAGGGATTTTTTAAAACGTTGAAATTGGCACCACTTACAAAGCTGCAGTTTGCAAATGGCACTTTTATAGCACCTTGCATCTGAGGCAAAAGCAGGAATTTCTGTGACCTTGTTTAGTTCCAAGGTCTGAATGATCTGCAACTTCAATTCTTGTCCCCCCAATAAGGTTGAAAAACTTGTTCAACCACTCCCTAAAATTACCTAAAAATTACTCAGCCTCAAGTCAACCCATTTTTACTGTCTGCCCACTATAGTGGGCTCCTGGGTGGGGAAGCAAGAGAAGCCTTGGTTCACTTCCTTGGGATGCACACAAGAGCCTTGCAGCAGGAGGGCCAGTCCTAGCCCTGCCCTCCCACTGCCTTATCAGCCTTCTTCACTGGCCACAGCTGGGATTTTTACAGGAAGGATCTTCACCAAGACAGCAGTAACAACCCACTGACATTTAGTTTTCAAAGAGGCTCCATGCATAGAACCTTATCGGATTCTTAAAACACTATGAGGCATGGGTCTTAGGTTGGGCTCCCCAGAAGGACAGCCTTGAAACAGGGATTCAGAGAACCCTGTCTGCAAACTCTTAGCAGTCAACACTCAAGGTAGCTGGGGGTTGGGTGTACAAGCGAAGAGAAGCTGGATGGGGCATCAACAGTGCCCGTGACAAAATCCAAAGCCGATTGTGGACAGGTTTCAGCAGAGCTTTCAGACTAAGACAGACTAGGAAGAAAGCCCTGATGATCTACTTTCAAAAATTAGCCGACGAGAACCCTGTGGATCACAGAATATTGTCCAAGACTTTGACTTGCTTACTTTAGATGCATCATCAGGTGGGACTGACTGCTGGAGAAGGACATCATGTCTGATAAAGTGAAGGGCCAGTAAAGGCGAGTGAAACAGTCAATAAGATGGACTGACACAAAAGCCACAACAGTGGACTCAAACATACCAATGATCATAAAGATGGCGCAGGACCAGGCAATGTTTCCTGCTGTTATACATGAGGTCACCATGAATTGGAGCAGACTCAGTGACAACTAACAATAGCGTAACTGAGAAAAGAGGCCTGGGGAAGTGGACCATTTGCTGGTGAGCTCATGTGGCAGAGTAAGTGGCAGATCTGGGACCACAATTTTGGTCTCCAAGTTCAGTGATCATCTCTCTATACCTCATTATAAGTTTGCGTTTTTTGATGCGACAAATACAGTAGCACCCAAAGCACTGATAAGTGTCTATCTCTAATAGACCATAAACCTCTTATATATAAAGCAATGTCTGCTCCCTACATCTGGAAAAGGCCGAAAGATATGGGCATGCCATAAGCAAGTCTTCGGCTTTTCCCTGGGATTCATAGTAGGACAAGACTGGTGCCACACATGTGCCCAAGACACCCCTAGAGGAGTCGGTGCAGCTCAGAGAGGGCAGCCTGAGAGCCGGGGCCTGAGCCCTGCGTCTGGCTTGGCTTCCAAACTCTCCAGACTGTAATGCCTTTCTTTTACTAATGAGAAAACAGCCCTTGATTTCTAAGGTTCCTTCGATCTCTGAAATATTATGGTTCTACGGAGTGACCCACTTAGCTTCTTGGGGAAGAGTATTTCTTGTCCCCTCCATTCTCCTCTGGGTCCAGCCCATAGCGCTGGAACCCTCTAATCTTCCATACTGGAAAACCAAGTGACCACAGGAGAAATGCTCACAACTGTGAACAGGCAGTCCTAACGTCTCACCATAATGAGTTTCTGGAAACAACCCCAAAGAGGTTCATCCTAAGGAGA